ACAGTAATAGAAAACAAAACACTAATATTATTGATAAAAACAGGCATTTAAAAGACAAATAAAATCAACACTGGCTAAAAGAAGATAAAACACATAACTTCTATATGCCTGGATAGGTTTTCCTGAACAAAAATGAGTCTACTGCTCTCAACCACTACACCACACCGGCACTGGCGGAAAGTTCCAAAGTACACTGGAAGACTGATTTCTTACAGGTTCAGAGCAAGTATTATATGGCACTTTCAACAGTGCCAGCCGCGCAGATTGAAGCAGTTGAGTGGGCACATATATTTTAGCACGTGGTTGGGTGGGCGGCTGCCACCACACTGGCGTAAGCTGAAACAGATCCCACAATGCATCAATCATGGCACTGGACCTGTAGTAACTGCAGTGTCAAAGTCAGCAGTAGTGTAGCTGGGGGTGGGGGTGGGGAGAGCGGTCCGCACTGGGCAGCAGCCTTCTAGAAGGCAGCCCAAAGCTCACTGAGGGACACTGGTTGTGTGTGGCTTGCAGGGTACCCCAGCTGTGCCCACGTGCAAGATGTGCACGCCTGCCCCGGGCACCTGAGCAGCTTGCTATGCCACTGAAGGTCACTGTAAGCAAACGTGTCCTCAAAATGTGTAATCAGATGGGCACAGCGGGACATCAAATGCTCTAGAATTCCTTCCGCGCAGAGGGGGTCGGTAGCCTTTGGACCATCTGAAATAACTCTGTAGGGAGGCTACTAGAAGGTCCAGTGCAAGCTGCCAAATAAGCCACCTTCACAACCCGCATTGCCGCATGATTATGTGTACTACCCAGCAATTGGTTGGCTTCAGAACAAGACTTGCACCATTCATGCTCTAATTTTCATCACTATGCCGGCATGGTGATGAAAATTAAGATGAATCATTTATCCATAGTGGGGGGAAACTGATAGATTTATGTAGGAGATTAATTGGTAAATATAATGATGATTGCACAACTGTATAAGTATATTATATTTATTTTATTTGTCTTGAACTCTTACTACATTGCTACTTACATGTTGAGAAAATGTTATGCTCCCAAGCTTTAAAACTTCATATTGCAATTTCTTTTCTGTGCATATCAGTCTCTTGGCCTCAGAAAATACATGATGGCATCTCCTGGTTATTTAAAGGAAAGTGTTTTGCTCCATGGGTTATCAAGAATGTGCCTTATCAAGAATGGTGTCCTTTCAACTCACTCATCTTTTAGGAAGTGTGAGAGCATTTTTTTCTAGCTTCTGTTGGTCTTTCTCCCCCTCCCCCCTTTTCTTCTGAAAATCTGAAAGGGTGATGCTTTATAATTCTTTATGCTGAGCAGATATTATTCACAAACATTCAAATCATCTTGCTCTGCCTAAACTCAGAGAGCATAGGACCCCTGACTTCCTTGAATTTTTGCAACCTGTCTTAAGCTTTCACAATAATGTAGCATTATTTTACTTATAGCTCACAGTAACCTCTTTTTAAATTATGAATCTCCTCCATGTATAATGCTTAAACCAGAACAAGGAACCCAGTGATCATGGAATATTGGCACATTCATTTAAAGAAATCTCAGAGTAACTTTATGATGCAAATACAGTAATGGCCTTTAATTCTAGTCTAAACTGGTTTATCCTTTAATGCCTCGATGATCTTTTATTTAACTTTGCCATATTTAATACTCTTGAGTGGGAAGTAAGGCAGATGCACACTTAAAGATTTTCCAGAATCATTTCTTGTAGCAATCTCTCACTTGAAATATTACAGGGACTTGAATTCATAAGAGTCATTGCATGAGCGGAGTCATTGCTGGAGAACTGGGAACCCCCAGAGCAGATTTGTATAGGTTTGCAGAGGGAGGAGGCATGAGAAGGAGGGGAAACTTCATTTCACGAGTGGAAGTTGTGAAACACTAAATCATTTTATGATGATTCATACATCTTTTTTTGGGGGGGGGATTTTTTATTATAATGAGTGAATGAATGAATAAAAACAGAACTGCACTTTTAAAAAATGCATTTTGACTGCCAATAATATTGATGCACAAAATGGAAAAAGAAGCTTAATAAAACACAACATTGTTACCTGTATTGACTCCGTTGTTTAATGAACACATTCAATACTTTACCATAATCTCCCTTCTGGTTGAAGCGACAATCATAGACTCCCAAAACAGAAGCAATACTAAACAATTGTTTAGCCTTATGGGAAATGAGCTTGCTGAAGCCTTTGGGTTTAGCTCTCCCCTTTCCTCTTTGTGTCTCCAGTGTGTCTCAGACCAGGAGACTGGAAGCATATGCATCCTGCTTTAAGCTAACTATTGTGTGTGTATATTGAAGCAACAAGAGGAACAGCCATTTTAGATCTTGTCCTAACCAATGTTGATGACCTGGTTAGTGGGGTAGAAGTGGAAGGATCATTAGGCGCGAGTGATCATGCTCTTCTGAAGTTTACTATACAGCGGAAAGGAGCAGCCAAGCATACTAGGACTCAATTTCTTAACTTTAAGAAAGCTGACTTCATAAAACTTAGGGAAGTGCTGGGTGAGATCCCATGGACAGTAATACTAAAAGGAAAGGGAGTTCATGATGGCTGGGAGTTTGTTAAGAGGGAGATAGTAAAAGCACAACGTCAGGCAATACCAATGAGACGGAAACATGGAAGGTGCCTAAAGAAGCCAGGGTGGCTATCTAAAGAACTTTTAACTGAGTTAAGATTAAAAAGGATGTGTACAAAAATGGAAAAGGGGAAACCACCAAAGAGGAATTCAAACAAATAGCCAGCACGTGTAGACACAAAGTCAGAAAAGCTAAAGCACAGAATGAACTCAGGCTTGCTAGAGAGGTTAAAAGCAACAAAAAAGGCTTTTATGGGTATGTTCGTAGCAAAAGGAAGAAAAAAGAAACAGTGGGGTCACTCAGAAGATAAGATGGTGAAATGCAAACAGGGGACACAGAAAGGGCTGAACTCCTCAATGCCTTCTTTGCCTCAGTCTTCTCCGATAAAGAAAACAATGCCCGACCTGAAGAATTTGGAGCAAATGATTCAGCAAAGGAAACACAGCCCAGAATAACTAAGGAGATAGTACAAGAATACTTGGCTAGTTTAGATGTATTCAAGTCTCCAGGGCCAGATGAACTGCATCCAAGAGTATTAAAAGAACTGGCAGATGTGATCTCAGAACCACTAGCAGTCATCTTTGAGAATTCCTGGAGAACAGGCGAAGTCCCGGCAGACTGGAGGAGGGCAAATGTTGTCCCTATTTTCAAAAGGGAAAAGAGAGGACCCAAATAATTACCGCCCAGTCAGTCTGACATCAATACCAGGGAAGATTCTGGAGCAGATCATTAAGCAAACAGTCTGTGAGCACCTAGAAAGGAATGCTGTGATCACCAATAGTCAGCATGGATTTCTGAAAAATAAGTCATGTCAGACTAACCTGATCTCGATTTTTGACAGAATTACAAGTCTGGTAGATGAAGGGAACGCAGTGGATGTAGCCTACCTTGATTTCAGCAAGGCATTTGACAAGGTGCCTCATGATATTCTTGTAAAGAAGCTGGTAAAATGCGGTCTTGACTATGCTACCACTCAGTGGATTTGTAACTGGCTGACTGACCGAACCCAAAGGGTGCTCATCAATGGTTCCTCTTCATCCTGGAGAAGAGTGACTAGTGGGGTGCCACAGGGTTCTGTCTTGGGCCCGGTCTTATTCAACATCTTTATCAATGACTTGGATGATGGACTCAAGAGCATCCTGATCAAATTTGCGGATGACACCAAACTGGGAGGGGTGGCTAACACCCCAGAGGACAGGATCACACTTCAAAACGACCTTGACAGATTAGAGAACTGGGCCAAAACAAACAAGATGAATTTTAACAGGGAGAAATGTAAAGTATTGCACTTGGGCAAAAAAATGAGAGGCACAAATACAAGATGGGTGACACCTGGCTTGAGAGCAGTACATGGAAAAGGATCTAGGAGTCTTGGTTGACCACAAACTTGACATGAGCCAACAGTGTGACGTGGCAGCTTAAAAAGCCAATGCAATTCTGGGCTGCATCAATAGGAGTATAGCATCTAGATCAAGGGAAGTAATAGTGCCACTGTATTCTGCTCTGGTCAGACCTCACCTGGAGTACTGTGTCCAGTTCTGGGCACCACAGTTCAAGAAGGACACTGACAAACTGGAACGTGTCCAGAGGAGGGCAACCAAAATGGTCAAAGGCCTGGAAACGATGCCTTATGAGGAACGGCTAAGGGAGCTGGGCATGTTTAGCCTGGAGAAGAGGAGGTTAAGGGGTGATATGATAGCCATGTTCAAATATATAAAAGGATGTCACATAGAGGAGGGAGAAAGGTTGTTTTCTGCTGCTCCAGAGAAGCGGACACGGAGCAATGGATCCAAACTACAAGAAAGAAGATTCCACCTAAACATTAGGAAGAACTTCCTGACAGTAAGAGCTGTTCGACAGTGGAATTTGCTGCCAAGGAGTGTGGTGGAGTCTCCTTCTTTGGAGGTCTTTAAGCAGAGGCTTGGCAACCATATGTCAGGAGTGTTCTGATGGTGTTTCCTGCTTGGCAGGGGGTTGGACTCGATGGCCCTTGTGGTCTCTTCCAACTCTATGATTCTATGATTTCAGGGATGGGGAACTGCCATCCTTTTGCTTGGCTTCAGCCTGCAGAGCCTTTCTGTTTGGACCACAGCATCTCCTCTTTCATCAGATCTTGCCACCAGATTATAATTGCCCTTATGAAAACTATTCAGTTACTCAGGGCCGTCTTAAGCATATCTGGCGCTGTGGTGTAAAGATCCCTCCGGCGCCCCCCCTTTCCCAGAGTTGTTGACCAAAGGGCTGGAGGAGGCAGGCAGCAGCTGGAGGGCGGCTCCTCCAGAGGGGAAGAGGCAGAGGCTGGATGCAGCCCCTCTTAGCAGCGCCTTGGCCATGGCAGGCAGGACACTGAGCGAGCGGGCCTGCACTGAGCGAGCGAGGGTGCGTGCGCCACTCCCGACGAACGTTGGCTCGGTTTTGTCCCTTTTAGCCTTTTGCCGCCCTGCAGAATTTGAGGCCTGCAGGCTAAAAGGGAAACAACTGAGTCAACGCTCGGCGGGACCAGCGTACGCACCCTCACTCACTCAGCGTGCTCGTTCGGTGTTCCCTGGTCTCTCGCCTGGCGCCCTCCAGAACCTGGCGCCACTAGCCTCTATGGATAAGACAGACTCTTCCATTGTCTCTTGAGACCGATGGATGCCAACAATTACCCTTACAAATACTATTCAGTTTGTGGCATTAACAACATTCTATATTTTAAGTAGTAGGTAAAGGTAAAGGGACCCCTGATCATTAGGTCCAGTCGTGATGGACTCTGGGGTTGTGGCGCTCATCTCGCTTTATTGGCTGAGGGAGCCGGCGTACAGCTTCCGGGTCATGTGGCCAGCATGACTAAGCCGCTTCTGGTGAACCAGAGCAGCACACGGAAACACCGTTTACCTTCCTGCCGGAGTGGTACCTATTTATCTACTTGCACTTTGACGTGCTTTCGAACTGCTAGGTTGGCAAGAGCAGGGACCCAGCAACGGGAGCTCACCCCGTCGCGGGGATTCGAACCACCGACCTTCTGATCGGCAAGTCCTAAGCTCTGTGGTTTAACCCACAGCGCCACCCGCATCCCTTTAAGTAGTAGATTCTCCCTCTATTCTCTAGAGATGTTTACTCTTGAGATTACTGTTCTGAAGATACATTTGTTAATATTTCAAACTTTTCTTCATTCACTTTATGTCCAGATTATTTAATATAAATTCATATTATGCTTTCTGAATTAACAGGGTCAGTAATTGAAACAACACTGTCATTCACATATAACATAATTAAAGTCATTGTTGTGAATTGTATTAATTCCTCATTGTTTCCCTCTGTCCTTGAATAATGATAGTCAAGGGCTTCATCAAGAATATGAATATTATAGGAGGGAATGGACTCCTAACATATGCTGCTCTGAAGATAAAAAGGTTCTTTGTAATTCACTTTTCCTGCAACTTTCATGTGAATACTTCCTTTAATAGAGAAAGTAGGCTATCATTCACAGGATTACCTGATTTATGAGGTGTGACACAGTATGGGAATTGACTCAATTTTGGCTTAAAGCAACAAACCCAAACTTCCCATTGCTATATTCTTCAGCCATCTGAACAAAATCTTTATAATTTTTTAGTTTCATTTATACAGTAAATTGCTTGATACCACATAGAATCTATGTGAAACACAAACCATAGCAACAGTAAAAGCAAAAATAGGAATAGCAGCAGTTTTTTTTTTTTTTAAAAAAAGGATCAGTCAAAAGTCAGCACCATCTGTTTCACAAAAGCCAGAGTAGATGGGAAACTTTTATTTTGCTTGTAGAGAAAGACAGTTGCTGTTTCACCACATCATGCTAAGCCAAACCATGGCTTAGTGCGAATGTACAAGGACGTGAAAAGACGATCAGCCACTTTGCCCCTCTCCAATCATTTTATCATTTTGCTGCTGTACTGTGCTTTGGGCTGCCATATTTCAAAAAGTAAAAACCAGGACACCCCGAAGGTTTTTGAGCTTTTTTTAGACAAATCCCAAAGTTGTTGAGCTCTCCCTAGACTTACCGGAACAGTAACCCAGGTTTGTCCTGTGGTTTACACCTCTTTCAGTGGATCTGGGAAGGCTCCCTCGCAGAGGGAAGCACTCACCACCCCACAGAGCCCATTGCCCAGCCCTTCCCAGCTCTCTTTTATTAGCCAGGATGGGCAAGGATCAAGGAGACACATCGTCGGTTTCACTCATCCGAACAACCTGCCACATCCTTGGAGGTAACAGATTGGAATTGATCCCATGTAACATGACTAGACAGGACTCTAGCACTGTTCCCTGCTCCCACGGTGGAGTCTACCTCCTTCCGAATCTGAGCGACTTTATCTGCAAAAAACTTTGCAAAAGCAAAATAACTCTCTTAAAAACAGCACTGGGGGGTTAGCACTAAAACATTTCAGAACCTTTAAAAGCACACACAAAAGCACAACACCCACCCTCAGAAGACTGTGATAACAGCCCGTTAGTGGCCCAAGGCCTTTTGGAACAAAGAAGTATTTGCCTCCCAGCAAAAGGAAATCGGAGAGAGAACAAGTCTAGCCTCCTGTGGAAGGGGGTTTCACAATCTTGGAGTAACCACCGAGAAGGCCCTCTCGCCTGTATTCAACAAACGTGTCTGCGAAGCTAGTGGGACCAAGAGAAAAAGGCCTTTCCAGAAAATCTCACAGCGCAGGCAGTCTCATATAGGGAGATATGGTCCTTCAGATGTAAGAAGATGTGATCTTTGGTTTTAAACTTAAACATGAAGGTATGAGAAGTGGCCAAGGAGGTTAATCAGCCGTCAGAATAATATAAGATTCACCTGATCTGTTATGTGGTGGTTTAAGCAGTGTTAACTCGACCATCATACAAGCAACAACTACCCTGTCAGGGGAAGAATATGCTGTTGCCATAAATTAAAATTACTTTTAAATTTTGTTCTTTTGTTGATTTTTGCAGAAGGTTCAGGATCCAAATTTTCATCAGTAGGGAAATATTGCCTGCTTAATGTAGTTTCACATAGGGCAGTACTACAGTTGTGGGCATACTTAACTTTGCTGCCCTATCCTGTTTCTGCTCTGCCTCCTGCCACTTAAAAAACTGTCCCATGGAGTTCAGTAAGGCTTTCTTCCAAGCATATGTATATAGTCCCCCCCCCCTCCAGCATTTCATTTTCTAGAATATGAATTGTTTTTCTATATGCTTATATGCATAATTTGAAAATTTGTTTGCTCCTTATACTTAGCATTGCTCCTGAATATTAGAGGGTTCATGCTAGGGAGCAGAATGATAAATGTATAAAGCATGAAGAAAAGACACCTGAGGCACAAAACTATTGCGGAATCAGTTAAATGTTTTCATGTGTTGTTTTTAAATTTTTTATCATTTGGATTTCCTCAAATCAAGTTCCCTCCCCATCTCACAATTTACTTTCCTGGTGGGGAAGGGGCACAATTGGTTGTTCTGCTTCAGGCAGCAAAATGTCTTGGACCTTATTTAGGTGGGAAATTTTATGAGTGACTGCTGTTACGGATAACCATGGGTGTTTTTTCCTTTTCACACAACAACAACAAAAATTGCTGGTTCGCTAGTCTCCCCCCCCCACCCAGCTTCTTTTGATTTCTTATTTGCTGCAGATGGTGGGAACAGATCATTTGTTCTGTAACTCGTTAGTTTGGCAAAGGCCCATTTTTCCGCTACTGTTGAAGCAACAGATGTAAGTAGCTGAGAACAAATGTTTGGCATAATCTTTTTTTTTTTTTTATGTGTGCCTTTATTCTAAGAACAATCCACTTTATTGTTAAACTTAGTAGCAAATTAGGCTATAGGTACTAAGGAAAGTCAAGGAGAAAGTGCACCCATGTTCCACTTTTAAAATGGCAATATCTGTAAACTTTTAAAAAGACAACAACGTGAACATTCAGTGTGTAAGCTTAGGTGTAAAGTCAGTGGAGAGAACAAACACCATTAGATGTAGTGTTGGATAGGTGTCTAATTGTTCTTGGTTTTGTATTTGTTTAAAAACCAGTAATTATTATTATTTTTTAAAGGGGTTGGTGTGACAGCACTAGAACAGCTTCACAAGCGCAGCATTTAACAGATTTATGGGAAATCCATCACTACAAGTTTAACACATACTCCAAAGATCTTTCGAGTCAATTTCTTTAGGGGTTGCTCTGTTCTGGGCCTAGGAATGGTGAACTTCACAGCAAAATTTTCAGCAAGGCTCAGTAAAGGCTTTAGGTATCGTATGCAAAAGTGCAGCATTAACAAATGTGTGTGTTTACTTAGTATATAAAATTGAAAAGGTTGCAGCATTAAAGGATGGAATCTACCATGTTTACTCGAGTCTAATGTGCCATCGAATCAAATGCGCACCTCAATTTTCAGAACCTTGAAACAAAAAAAAAAGTATTTGCTGGCTAATGTAAATGTGCCATTGAATCAAATGCGCACCTTAGTTTTCACAACGTAATTTGGCCAGAAATGGTGAGCATTAGATTCAAGCAAATATTTGAAAGTAAGTCCCATTAAACTTGGAGGAACTTCCTTTTTAAAGTAGACATGTATAAGTTCATGCTTCATCTTATCACCAATGCATGGAATACTCATAAGCGATGGAGAATGCAGAGATCTTGCCATGGGGATATTGATAGCACTGTCATGTGGCAAATGTAGCAGACACCTTGCCTCTTAAAGTGTGCTGTTGACCACATATTTCATGACCACCAGCCTTACAGTTTACATATCCACAGTTTGTGCATGTGTGGTAGTTTGCAGCACAGTGATGACCAGCAAGGTCAGCCACACATTGACAAGGTCACTGAGGCAGGTCTTGGGGTCATATCTTTCTGCCACCACATTTAGGAAGGAGCATGTGACTAGATATACGTACATAGTAAAATGTAGCATAACAAATGTGCCCAGTAGTTCTGTTTCCATAACTTTTGGGAAGTGAAGATTTCATCTAATGCATTTCTCTATGCTGATATTGGAGAAAAGGAACACATGGAGCCCAGAAAAAATACATTGTTCGAAAACCATGCTATAAATAGTAGTGGGCATGTATATGAAATGCTGCCCTCTCATGGGTGGAATATTTGAGAAGCTTTCGTGTTTCACCACCCCACTTCAGTGGTTGCAAAAGAGGCTGCATTTAATCATCCTAAAAAACTGTAGAATCTGATACATAAACATTTTAATAAAATAATAAAGGTAGTTTTTTCTAAATGCTGAATGTTTTCTAGAAAAGATGCAAAATATTATTTCTTCAGATATTGTCATCAGTGTTGTCACAATAGCTACAAATCTCGTTAGCAATGCCCTCTTTACTACAAAGCCTTATTTCTTTCTCCACCCATCAGGGCTGGTACCCAGATCTCATTTTCAGAGCAGGGAGCAGATTATATTCTGTCTTCATACGCAAAGAACAGGCATTAGACAGCAGAACAAGTGAACCCAATTATTTCACTGTTCATCTGAATAAAATGAATACAGATTCTGGAGATACTTGC